GTACTCATCATAAGAAGTAGGCTCTGATCCACATTATTGTTTTTGTATTTATTAAATTTCTTATTTTTATCTGCTTTATTATTAAACTTGAAGTAACAATGGAAGTAAATGTTTAAAGCTTGAAAAGAGCCAGGGAACTTCAAAATGCTAAAAGAAAACACAGTCAACAAACCAACTTTTTATATTTAACTCAGCTGTGAGTTACTCTTCTATTCCAAACAAGTCCACAGTTTAAAGCTATAGTACAAATATTAAGCTTGAATTCTTGAAGTGATTCTATATTAAATGTCCAGCTTATAAAGATTATTTGATGCCTCCTTCGTGCAAGGCCAAGTATTTATATAATATGGAAATAACATTTATATTTCATAGTTTATGAAATTTTACTTGTGGCACACTAGTCTTCATAAAAGCTTGCCACTTGTATATATAATGCAGTTGGAGGAAGCATCAAGCTGCAAAACAGCCATTCCAAAGCCCAAGTGCAATACAAAGTAACTTAGCAACACAACAAAACAAAGTAAAACATCCGTGTTTAGATTTAGTTATGTCTTAAAGATAGGATTAGAGGCTAAAATAAACTGTATTTGTGATCCTTGTTTTGGCATTATGTTTGGTGTGACACTGCACAATCACTCATTATTTCACTAAACTATGTGACTGCTTTGGTCTCTTATGAATTGCTCGAGCTGCACACAGTTAGGAGGATACACAGTCCAGTATATGTTTAGAGCTTTGTGTTCTATCCCAAGTAGAGTTTGGATGTAGTCAACAACAGCTAAAGTGTTTCTTATTCCCAAAAGATTAACCCAGGTGGAAAAATATCATATTCTATAAAATTTTCTACGGAACGTTAGTGTTTCCCTCTTTTCTTGGTTCTCACCCTTTCTCTTGGCTGCTCTCTGTAATTATTTTCCACTGCTCAGGAAAGCTGTGCCGTCTGTGTTTCATTACTGAACTAATTTTTCCACTCTAGCCTTTTCCTCTTTCCCTTGGTCATTTCATATCATGTAGTCTACAGTGTGCTAGAAAAAGAGATGTAATTGTCTCCTTTTCAAACCTAAATATTTTTAAAATGTGAAAATAAATTCAAGGAAACAAAAGGACATCAACAGAGTGGGGATTTAACTTCACTTTTCTGTTGACTACACTTTATGCTTTTGGCATTAGTACTCTGAAAGATTTAGCTTTTACTTTTGAATTTTTATTTCAGTGACTACTTATGATGTGTTTCTTTTAAATCAAGTTTCAATTTATAAATTAAGAGAATGATAAAAGGCTTTAATATACAATAGCAGATGCAGAAAGCTGAGATTACAGTAGTTTTTTGTGATAGTATTCCTATAGTAACAAATAACAATTTATGCCAAGGTTTAGATAGAAAATAAAAAGGTTTGCCACTTGCCAGTTTTTAAAATACTCCTTGGTTTTTCTAGTGAGTACTGAAGTTCATTCTAATTCTAGGTGATCTTACAAAACCAACACCTAGAATCCTTGGATGTGTCTCTCTTTACTGAAGATCCCAGGAGAGAAAAGTAGGCATTTCATTCTGGAATTAAAGTGCCTAATGCACTTGACTGCTAACCAGAAGGCTGGCGGTTCAAACCCACCAGCCACTGCTCGGAAGGAAAGTTGGAGAATCTACTTCCATAGTGATACTGCCTCGGAAACCCAAGGACGGGTCGCTATGAGTTAGGGCTGACTCGACAGCACATACCAACAACAACAAGGCAATATGTTTAAGAACTTAGAACAGCATCTACTATCTGTTGCTGTTATGTGCCGTCGAGTCGGCCCTGACTCATAGCCACCTCTCCTTGGGTTTCCGAAGCAGTATCACTACAGAAGTAGATTGCCCCATCTTCCTTCCAAGGTGTGGCTGGTGGGTTTGAACCGCCAGCCTTCTGGTTAGCAGTGCCTTAGGCACTATGCGATGGGAGCTCCATCTACTATCTAGTGGCATAAATATTAAAATTCTCTCATAGCAATTTGAAGGGGACATACATATCTACACACTATGTTTGAGGCCTAAATGCCCAACTTCAGGCTTTCTTGAGACTCTCTTCATGAGTTTCCCCTCCTTTGTCTGCCTTTGGTTATTTAGGTAGCAAAGGAGACTCTTAGCCCTGCCCTCTGAATTAGAATATTCGGTGGATTAACCATTCTAGAGAGACAGAATTCTAGGTCTTAGTAATTGCTTTGGTTACCCTGACTTCTGGGGTTCTTTGTATTTTTTGCTCCTCAGATTGACTTAGAGAAGTCATGTTCCTCTATGCTTAAATCACAGGGGAAATGTAATCTTCTGTTAGAAGGGAGGGGCTTTTGGCTACCTGATGTAAACTGGTCTGCTGCTCCTTTCTTTGTCTTCTCGCCATACAGTAGAGGTAAAGCAAGAGAGAGGGTTAACCATGGGGTTAGCTTGGGGTTTGGTAAAGCAGCAGAACTCACTGGGGCCTAGAATGAGAGCAGAGGCCGCTCTCTTGAGGACCTTCTGTTGGCCCTGAGCATGCTGTGAGAAGAGCAGCTTCCCAGCTTCATGTGTGGCTCACATCATCTGTGCGGTGGGTGTGGCCCGTCCTCTAGCTCACAGCTACTCCACCCAAGCCCACAGCTGTGGCAGTTGTGGCACAGCCACATCTGCTGCCTTGTTCCTTTCCCAAGGGGGTGGTAAAAAGGAAAAGCCAGGAGGCCAGAAGACCACACACCAGCAGCATGTTGGGTAGTCCATCCCAGATGACTTGCTTACTCTCAAGATACTGTGGGAGTGGAATACCTAAAAACAGAATGGATTCTTTACATCCTGAGTCCAAAGGCTTTTCTGCCAGCAATAAGGACTGTTGCTCTAAAACAGGGTAACTAGGGTCTTTGAGTAAAAATAAAGACACTAACTCACAGTTACTGAAAATGTGCTAGGTACGAAGTATACTGAGTACATGCACTATTTAAATCTGTATTATTATTTTCATTTTATAGAAGATACAACTGAGGCAAAGAGAGGTTACGTGATTGCTAAATGTAACATAGTGCATGGCAGAGAATTCCAACTACACCAAAGCTCACACTCTTAACCCCTACGGTATGCTGTCTACCTGTCTGATCCTAGACTTGTCAGTAAGATTAGTATCACTCTGCATTCCTGATCTTTGCTGTGTCACTTCTTCCTTTTAGTTTCTTTTCCTTCCTCCTTTGTCTTTCTTTGCAAGGGAATCTTCAACAGCCCTCTTTTATCCACTAACTTCATTACAGTTTGTCAAGAGAGTTTAAACGATCAGAGACTATTGAGGCTTGCCTGCTGTCTTCAACTCTACATACATCTTGGGACTGCCATTGCCCTGAGCACTGAGTCTTTCCCCATCTGGAACTTTCCCACAGGTAAAAATACATTGCCATAACTTGAGGAAGATTGGAATAGACTCAACTACAATTTTACCTTTCCATTCTTTTGTTTTATAAAATGGCTTATTCCAATAATAATTTAAAACAATTGTTACGAAAAATAGTTGATAGTAGGATCCCAGTACTGATGAGGACTAAAGAATACAGATAACTACCCCCATAATCTATCTCAGCCTTTCTAGAGGAAAAGAGGAATAAAGGACCTAACATAAAACAAAATTGTGAATTTTGTTAAGTCATCCACTATGTTTTTAATAGGCAGAAAACTGAAAGTTGAAATTTTCATTAAAATTACGAAGGGGGAAAAAAAAAGCAAGTTCCACATTTGTTCCTCCAAATACAAGAAACATGAACAAAATAAGCATTAAAATCTAACTTTTTAATGAAATTTGTAATTTTGATTATTTTTCAGGGTAATGGTCACGTATTTGTTGATGAATAAATTAGAGCCTCAATAACATATGGAAACTATTCATTGACAGGTGTTCTGTCACAACTTGATTAGCTGGATAGTTTGAGTTTTATTCCAATCCTAATATTACTGCAGAAAAAGATCTTTACAGGACAATTAAGATATTAAAATGTAATAAGCATTGTGTTGTTGTTGTTGTTGTTATGTGCCATCAACTCAGACCTGACTCATAGTGACCCCTAAGCTTTGCTAAATTTATTTGCTAAATGTATTATTTCCTAATATCTAATCTTTCCTTCAAAAGAAATAATGAAATATGGAATGATATAAATAGATCAAAGGTGTTAAAAAGATAACTGCTGGCAATCTTCATTACTTATATAATCAAATTGGTATTTTTATCCCCTTTTTAAAAGAAAGATATGTATTATTTACATTTCTTGAGAGTTAGTAAAACTACCCTATCACACACTGAGCTCTTAAGGTAGGAAATCACTTCTTACTCATTTTTTGTGTCTTTTATACCCAACATAGTGCCTAAAATATACAAGATCTTCAATCAAATAGAATATGCAGGCTTGAGTTGGGATCATGACAGCTAGTAGTAGCCCACTATTAAATTCTAACTAGTCAATAATATAAAACATTTTGATAGAAACCAAAAGTTCCTGAATGTTATCCACAAGTCCTATCAAAATTATACTTTGTCTACACTTACACACTCCATTGATATATGTGTTTCTTTTTAAATATTTTACTGTAATTTTTCTACTAGAGCCCATACATGCTACTAGCTCTTTCTCTGTCCTCTTATCCTTCATTTTCTTCCTAGAACTTAACCTTACCTGAAATTATATTGTTTGTGTGTTTGTTATTGGTTTACTTTCTACCTAGGACTTTGTCTTTCCCACCAATGCAACTTCATCACCTACATGGTATACAGTAGGTGTAGATAATGGGCCCTCAATAATAGTTGTGGAAAGAGTATACCACAATCATTCCTGTAGAAGAACACCTGATGGAATAAATAAATACTCATGAAATAAATAATAATCTATCCTCTGAAATCAAGATGGATGTAGAATTTGGAAAATTAGTTGCATAAGCTAAAGAAATAATGACTCTACCTTTTAAGTAAATAGTCCCATTGTCCAACACACAGAACTGAGCCCAGCCCCAAACCCATCTTCACCTGAGGGTTTGCAGCCATAATGGTGTAATTCCCATCATCGTCTAAGGTGGAAGCTGTGGTATGGAGAGAGCAGGTCCCATCAAGATCTCTTTGAATGGTGTAGTGATCACTCTTTGGAGAGATCTGCTTCCCATCTTTAAACCAATAGATCTGTGAACAGAAATAGGATTAAAGATTAAGAGTGTGTGTAGACTTCATAGACCACTGGAATGGAATCAAAAGTTCAGAGATGAACCCTCACATCTATGGTCAATTGATTTTTGACAAGAGTACTAGGTCTATCTAATGGGGAAAGAAGAGTCTCTTCAATAAATGGTGCTGGGAAAATTAGATTTCTACATGCAGAAAAATGAAACAGGATCCTTGCCTCCCACCATATACAAAAACAAATTCAAAACAGATTAAGGACTTACATGTACAAACTAAAGTCATAAAATTCTTTGAACAGTCAGGTCTGGTTTTCAACAATGGATTATGTAATATAATAACAAAAGCACAAACAGTAAAACACAAAATAAATAAATGGGACCTCATAAAAATTAAAAACTTTGGTTCATCAGAAGATTTTACCAAAAAAGGAAAAGATAAACTGCAAACTGGGAGAGTATCTTTGGGAAATATGTATCTGACAAGAATCTAATAACCAAAAAATATATATATATATATAAAACTTTGACAACTTAACAACAAAAAGACAAATAATTCAATTATAAAATGGGCAAAGAAGACATTCAAATGGCCAGCAAACACATGAAAAGATGCTCAGCATCATTAGCCATCAGAGAGATGCAAATCGAAACCACAATGAGATACCATTACATTCTTAGGATTGCTGAGATTAAAAAACACAAACAAAAAACCCCAACCCATAATATAACAAACATTGGAAAAGGAATAGGGAAATTGGAACCCTTATCCATTGCTGGTGGGAATGCAAAATGGCATAGCTGCTGTGGAACTGGTGTGGTGGTTCCTTAAAAAACTAAAAATAGAACAGTCATTCCACTCCAAAGTATATACCCAAAAGACTTGAAAGCAGAGACTCAAAAAGAAACTTGTACATCAATACTCACTGCAGCACTGTTAACAACAGCCAGAAGGTAGAAATAACCTAAATGTCCATAAACAGATAAATGGATAAGTAAATGTGGTACAGATATATAATGGAACACTACTCAGCCAGTAGGAGAAATGAAGTCTTGATACATGTTACAGTATGAATGGAGCTTGAAGACACTGTGCTCAGCAAAGTAAGTCAATCACAAAAGGACATGTACGACTTCACTTATATAAAAAGAAAAGAAAAGTCAAATATATAAAGACCAGAGTTTATTAGTGATTACCAAGGGAGGGAGGGAGAGGGGGAAAGGGGTTAACAGTGACAGAAAAATCTCATTTATTAAGGGTAGAATTGTATGGCTGATTATTGTAATTGCTGTACACCTGTAAAAAGTTGAAATGGCAAAAGTTTGTGTGATAGATTTATTTACAAGAATGACAAAAGGAAAAAAAAAAGTAGCTGCTCAGGCTGCTTATGTACAACTAAACACCTCATGGGATTTAGTTCCTTGGTTTGGAGGTTTAGGATCATAGTTTGATGGGACATCTCTGTTAATTGTCCTAATAATGTTTTTAGTGCTTCTCCTAGTCTGCTGCATAGCGTCTAGGGTCTTAAAAGCTTGTAAGCAACCATCCAAGTCACAATAATTGGTCTCTATTCACCTAGAACAGAGGAAGAAGACGACTAGGAGTAGGAGGAGGATGTGGAATGTGTGGCTAATTGCTTCCATGAACAACTACTTCCTTTGCCAAGAGACCAGAAGAACTGGATGGTGCCAAGCTACCATTACTGAACATTTTGATCAAAGATTCCATAGAAGAATCCTGATCACAAGTGGGAAAATGAAGAACTTAATTTCAAATTTGCATGGACTCTAAACTTTCTGAAGTGATTGAGGGGGATGAATCTCTGAAACTATTGTCCTGAGATAATCTTTCAACCTTAAACCAAAAATATCACCTGAAATTTTAAAATCAAACAATATTTTAGCTTAACTAGTAAAAACGTCTGCCTTGAACATTATAATCTTTTAAAAACTAAGTCGATGGGATCAAATTGACAATAGCAACTTGAAAGATTAGGTAGAAACCTTAGGGGGCAGTAGTAGTTGTTGTTGTTAGCTGCTGCCGAGTCGTGTCTGACTCTTAGTGACCCCATGCACAGGAGAACGAAACACCACCTGGTCTCGCACCAGCTCCATGATCCTTGCTATACTTGAGCCCACTGCTGCAGCCACGGTGTCAATCCATCTCGTTGAGGGCCTTCCCCTCTTTCGTCGACCCTCCACCTTACCAAGCATGGCATCCTTCTCAGGGAATGGTCCCTTCTGATAACATGACCAAAGTAGGTGAGACAAAGTCTGGCCATTCTTGCTTCTACGGAGCATTTCGGCTGCACTTCCTCCAGGACAGATCTGTTAGTTCTTTTAGCAGTCCATGGAACTTTCAGCATTCTTTGCCAGCACCACAACTGAAAAGCATCAATTCTTCCATGGTCTTCCTTATTCATTGTCCAGCTCTCACATGCATATGAGGTGATTGAAAATACCATGGCTTGTGTCAGGCACACCTTACTCCTCAAGGAGACATCTTTGCTCCTCAGAACTTGAAAAAGGTCCTTTGCAGCTGACTTCCCCTGTGCTAAACGTTGTCTCAGGAGCTCTGGTAGCTTAGTGCCTAAGGCACTTGACTGCTAACCAGAAGGCTGGCGGTTCAAACTCACCAGCCACTCCTTGGAAGGAAGTTGGGGCAATCTACTTCTGTAGTGATACTGCCTCGGAAACCCAAGGAAGGGTCGCTATGAGTTGGATTCGACTCGACGGCACATAACAACAACAACAAACAAACGTGCTTTAAAGTGCTGAAGAGCAAAGATGTCTCTTTGAAGACTAAAGTATGCCTAATCCAAGCCATGGTATTTTCAATCACCTAAGGCATTTGGCTACTAACCAGAAGGCTAGCGGTTCAAACCCACCAGCCACTCCTTGGAAGGAAGGTTGGGCAATCTACTTCCATAGTGATACCATCTCAGATACCCAAGGAGGGGTTGCTATGAGTCAGATCTGACACAATGGCAGTGTGTTGCGTTTGTTGCATATGCATGTGAGAGCTGAACAATGAATAAGGAAGACTGAAGAAGCGTTGAGGCTTTTGAGTTGTGGTGCTAGCAAAGAATACTGAAAGTATCCTGGACTGCCAGAAGAACTAATAAATCTGTCCTGGAATAAGTGCAGACAGAATGGTCCTTGGAAGTGAGAATGGCTAGACTTCATCTTACCTACTTTGGTCATGTTGTCAGAAGAGACCATATCCTGGAGAAGGGTATCATGCTTGCTAAAGTGGAGGGTCAATGAAAAAGTGGAAGGCCCTCAACGACATGGATTGACACAGTGGCTGCAATGATGGGCTCAGGTATAGCAAGGACTGTGAGGGTGGCGCAGGACTGGGTAGTGTTTCATTCTGTTGTACATAGGGTCGTTATGAGTCGGAGCCGACTTGATGGCACCTAACAACAACAACAACCTGCAGATGTTTGGTATGACCTAAGTTGTAAAGGTGTCCTACAGGACAATTTTTGGCTGGCTTCTTTTGGTAACGTAGAGTTTTTAATTGTCCAGGACTAAATTTCATGTTAATTTCTCAGATTTTGCCTCCACATCATGGGATAGTATAAATTTGGAGATTCAATTTTTCATGATGCCTTTTTTTTTCTTTCCTTTTCACTCAAGTTGCAGGGAGGAGTGTAATCCTGTATAATGCTTTGCTGGGTTGGTAAACAGTTACTCTAATCCTCCTTTAAGATAGGGCAGTTCTTTATCCAGCATTTGCATGAAGAGAGGGGGTCCCCTAGGTCAGCCTAGTCCTCCATAGGATCAGAAATTCCTTTGACTACCCTTTTTAAACACCTGACTTCATTTATAATATAGGAAATGTTGGCTTTATAGATTAAACATTTGAAGTTTTTATCATTAATGGTGAGCATTACTTCTTTGTATGGTATAGAGCATAGGTTTGTGTTTGAGCCCATTGCTCACCAGCTCTCTAACTTTGGGAATGTTATTTAACCTCATTGAATGTGAGTTTAAGGAGCCCTGGTAGCACAGTGGTCAAAAGGCTTGGGTGCTGACCAAAAGGTCCACAGTTCAAACCCACCAATAGCTCTGAAGGGAAAAAATGTGGCAGTCTGTTTGCATAAAGATTACGACCTAGGAAACCCTACAGGGCAATTTACACTCTCCTGGAGATCACTATGAGTAGGAATTAGACTGGATGGCAGTGGGTGGTGGCGTGAGTGGGAGTGTCAGTTTGTGTTGTTGTTACATGCTGCTGAGTCAGCTCAAACTCATAGTGAACGTATGTATAACAGAATGAAACACTGCCCAGCCTGTGCCATCCTCACAGTCTTTGCATCCACCACCATTGCAGCCACTGTGTCAGTTCAGTCATATGCAGTTTGGGAGTAACAATGATAACCTTACATGAGCAGTAAATGATGCAGATATGTGAAAAGCTCTTTGTCAATTATTCAATTAGAATTCATTTATTTATTTTCTATTCTATTATTCAAGCCCAAACTCCACTACCCCATTCTTTTGGATTTTAATGCTTCTTGGAGATGGTCCTGAACTTAAGCCCAAAAATACCAAACCTATTCCCACTGAGTCAATTCCCTCTAGTAGGGAGTAGAATTGTCCCATGGGATTTTCTAGACTGTAATCTTTATGGCAGCAGACTGCCTATCTTTCTCCTGTGAAGTGGATGGTGGGTTGGAACCGCCAACCTTCTGGTTAGCAGCTGAGCTTAACAACTATGTCACCAGGGTTCCTCGGCACTGACCTTAGGGTACTTAAAACAATTTATATCATGGATATCAGTCTGTATCTCCTCATCCTACTATACATGCTATACTTCGGAAGCACAAGTCTTCCTCAAAATATGACTTGTAAAAAGCCATGTTTTCAGCTTACCTTTGGCTTTGGATTGCCAGCCACTCTGCATGTGAAAGTTACAGGCATTCCCTCAAAGATCTTGTAATGTTTCAGCTTCACCTCAAAGAATGGTGCCATTCCATTTTCCACAGGCACATCTCCATACTGAACTTCATCACCTGATTCATCCACAGGAGACCTTTCGAGCCTGTACTCTATTTCACTGATGAGTCTCTGTTCACAGCTGGAAACTTTGTACTCCTACATCAAACAAAGAAAGGTCACGTTAGCAATCTCAGTCCCTTGTGGTACAATGTGTTTCACAAGTTTTATCCTCCTCCCCAATTAACACGTTCTAAACACAGTGATACTTTTACCATAGAGCTTAAAGACATAGTCTGGGCCCATTTCAATCCCATATGAAACAAAAACAACATCTGTAAGTAAGGATATATGCTATTTCACTATGTCTTCAAGTCTCATTGTCCAAACTGCACCCCTTCCCTCCCTGCAAAAATCTCTAAGATGGACTTCTTTCTATTTTCTCTCTTTGGGGGGTGGGAAGGAGAAGGACAGAAAAAAGGCAAAGGGTACGTATTCCTGAACTGTTTATAAAAATAAAACACAGTGGAACAGCTTTCTTTCCAAAGGGTAAACATCAATTCAGAGTGGCACATTATCTCCAGAAAGCCACAGTACATGTGGCAAGTAGCTGCAATGTTACATAGAATTTAACCAAAGGAATGACAGAAAAAATGGCACCATGTTCTTGTTTTTCACTTCAGTTCCTAGACCCCTCCAGAGCTCAGCAGCAAAGAGGAACTATTTCCACTCTCCTTAAAAGAGAAACAGGACTGAAAAGTCCAGTCAAACTTTTGGTTTAAAAAAGAAAGGGGGGGAAAAAAAAAAAAGCAAGGAACTCATTAATATCCTGTGGGATTAAGGTAGAGTCTACATTTCTCTTGCTTATAGGTGCAATGAAGAGAAGATAGCTCATAAAAAAAATATTTATCCCCATGTAATAATAACTACAAGATTTTAAACTAGGTTTTCTCTTAAATAAGTTACTCAATGTTTTTTAAAAATAGTTTGTTAGCTTGAGGGAAGAATGAGTAAAACTGCAAAAATTATACCACAAGTTGTTTTGTTTTGTCTAATTCTTATCAAATTTACCAGTTTAAGAATTAGCACATTTATTTTCCTAGGTTAGTATAACAAGTGAAAAACTCTTCATGATTTTAGGTACAGAATCACTGATGATAGAATTCTAGTTAACTTTTTAATTAAATGATGTGAAAAATCATATTATAGTAATGTGATATTAAATTAAAATATACACTGATTATAACATTGCCTTTGAGTCCTATCATCCAAAAACTATGTTATAATCAACACAGGGTAGAAAAGACATATATAGGTAAAAAAGGAAGAAAAGACTAAAGTAGACACAGTGAAAGATTGGAAGGAGAAGAAAGATGAAAAGCTTAACCTTTTGACCATCCAGAGGACTCCCTATAGAAGCATGAGGAGACCCAACTTCCTGTAATGGTAGAAAAAAAGAAGTGAAGACTAATAATAGAAATAGTAAGAATATAGTGGTAAGACTTCTAGTTTTCCTTAGGTAAAACTTTTGTAGCAGCGATATTTAATACACAGTAACACTTTCCGATTTGAAGCTTAACCCATATCTCTGACAAGAAAAGAGTTTACTTGGTCTTTATACTTATTTTAAGAAGCTTTCTTTTTAATTTTCCAGACTACACAACTCCAAACAGAAGTTATACAGTTTATTTGGAAACTCTAGCTAGGAGCAGTAGACATTATAAAACAGCTTACAGCAAATCTACAAAGTGATTTTTTTAATAGCAGCAGGAGGACAAAAACAGCATTTTAGAGTTCTGCTGATTAGTGATTTTATGACTATGCATGAGAAAGAAAATAAGGACAGTCTTTTTTGTACATAAATATTTTACTTTGGATACTAAGACTATAAAGGGTAACATAGATATACTACCATCTCAAGCAATTTCAGTGAAAATGTTTTCCTCCATGCAAAAATATTTTGTATTAAAGCACAGGACAGCAAAAAGAGAAAGATACTGGAGAATAAATTTACCAATGAAAAGATAAACAGAATAGGGTATCACTGACTGAAATAATCCTATGAATCACTTAACACAATGCCTAGTGCATATTATGTGCCCAATAAATATTAGCTATAAAGTTGAATGATGTTATTAAACATAGTTTTTCTGTGACTTGCCTTCTACGTTTCACAAATTGACCTCAAGAATAGTGTCCAAAAAGAGTATGGGGAGAAGGGACAGAGAAGTAGGTATTTTTTGAAGTCCAAAGCAACATTGTACCTGATTAGCTGGTTCCTCTTCTGGCTCCTGAATATTAAAGACAGTTGCACTGTCAGCACCTAGTAGTCGACGAGCCATTCTTTCTTCATACGTTAACTTCTAAACAAAGTAAGTCACACAAAATATAGATTAAAAAAATTGTAATCATATACTGCTTCACAAAAAAGGAAAAAAGCAGTCTTGATGTTTTCTGTACCTATTACCTATCTTCAGAAATCCACACATAAAAAGTCTGTTTCTTTCCTTTACTTGGCTATACTGCCTTTCACCTCCCCTTCTGGTCCTAATCACTTAGTATTGGGGAAAAAAACAAACAAACAAAAAAACCCAAACTCGCTGCCATCAAGTTGATTCTGACTCAGAGTGACCCCCTTTGGGTTTCCGAGGTGGTAAATCTTTACAGAAGTAGATTGTCCAGTCTTCCTTCTGCAGAGTGGCTGGTGGGTTTGAACTGCCAACCTTTTTGCTGGCAGTCAAATGCCTTAGGCACTATGCCACTAGAGCTCCCTCAGTATAGGATAAATATATAGATAGGGCAAAAAATCTGATATACCACAAATATAAGGTGAGTAACAAGAAAACCACCACTTGTCTGTCTGTTTATCATAAAGTGTTGCTGTGATGCTGAAAGCTATGCTACTGGTATTTCAAATACCAGTAGGGTCTTACATGGTGGACAGGTTTTAATCAGAGCTTCCAGGCTAAGACAGACTGGGAAGAAGGATGTGGTGGTCTACTTCTAAAAAAATTTGCCACTGAAAACATTATGAAAAACAGTAGAAATCTATCTGATACAGTGCCAGAAGACAAGCCACTCAGATCGGAAGACATGTAAAATATGACTGGGAAGAAAGACAAATATTGTATTAGTCCACTTTATAAAAAGTCAGGGAAAGGTTTATACATAGAAGGAATATTTGTTGGGATATACTAGGGATGGGAAGGGAGGGGAGGCTAAATTCCTACA